TGCAGCAACTGCAGCAGCAGCGGCAGCGGCTCGGTACAAACATTGTTCGGCCCCTCTGCAGACTGCACAGGGGGTCCATATTGCTGGCCAGCTAGCCAAAGCTGGCTGGATGAGTAGCTGGCTAGCTAGCTAGCCAGCTAGCTAGCTAGCTGCGCATTTAGTTAAGCCGACGTGGCTAGCTGCCTTGCTAGCCACATAGCTAGCGAGCTAGCCACATAGCTAGCCAGCTAGCCACCTAACTAGCCAGCTAGCCACGTATCTGGTCGGCTCGATACGGCTAGCCAGCCGGCCACTCCGAGAGCTGAGCAGCTAGCTAGCTAGCTAGCCGACTGGATGGCCGGGTAACTAGCTAGCCAGGCAGCTAGCCCCCTGTCCAGCCAGCCAGCCAGCCAGCTAGCTAGCTAGCTAGCTAGCTAGCTAGCTCTAGTTGGCTAGCTCCGCGAGCTCCTGCCACATGGTGAGGGCTTCCACGGCGGCCATGGGGACCTCCCCAGGCCGCTAACTAGCTAGCTAGTTAGCTGCTCAGCTAGCTAGCTAGTTAGCTGCTCAGCTAGCTAGCTAGTTAGCTGCCCAGCCAGCCAGCTAGTTAGCTGCTCAGGTAGCTAGCTAGCTAGCTGCCCAGCTAGCTAGTTAGCTGCCCAGATAGCTAGCTAGCTGCTCAGCTAGCTAGCTATCTGAGCAGCTAGCTAGCTAGTTAGCTGTTTAGTCAGTTAGCTGCGGGAGCTGCTGCCGCGTGGCGAGGGCCTCCAAGGCGGGTACCAGGGCCCCCCAAGCAGCCAGCTGGCTAGCTAGCTAGCCAATCAGCGCTAGCTAGCTAACCAGTCAGCTAGCTAGCCAGCTAGCTAGCTAGTTTCAATGAATTGGCTGCTCCAGCTGCTGGCGCGAAGTAAGGGCCTCCAAAGCCGGCATGGGGGCTTTGCGGCTAATTCATTGAAGCTAGCTAGCTAGCCAGCTAGCTAGCCACCCAGCTAGCCAGCTAGCTAGCCACCTAGCTAGCCAGCTAGCTAGCTAGCCAGCCAGCTAGCTAGCTAGCTAGCTAGCTTCAATGAATTAGCTGCTCCAGCTGCTGGCGAGAAGTAAGGGCCTGCAAGGCAGGCATGGGGGCCCCCTCGAGGAGCTTGAGTGTGGCCCCGCCCCCTGTGGATAAGTGGGTTAGCTGCAGATTGGCATTTTGCTGCTGCAGCAGCTTAACTGCAGCAAGAGAGTCTCCCCCCCCCACAATGCTCACTGCTCCTGCTGCTGTTGCTGCTGCTGCTGCTTCCGCCACTGCTGCTGTGCCTTCGCGGAAGGCGGGGTTTTCTGCGTAGCCCATGGGGCCGTTCCTGAGCAGCAGCAGCAACAATCAGCAGCAGCAGCAATCAGCAGCAGCAGCAATCAGCAGCAGCAGCGATCAGCAGCAGCAGCACGTAGCAGCAGTAATTATCAGCGGCAGCAGTGGCAGCAGCAATTAACGGAAATAGAAGTTGGGACCAGCCACCGCAATTAGCAGCAGCAGCAGCAAGTAGCAGCAGCAGCAAGTAGCAACAGCAACAGCAGCAATTAGCCGCAGCAGCAGCAAAGGCCAGACATCCCGCAGTGAGCAATACAGCTAAAGGACTACTCTAGCAAGATACTCGCAGCAGCGCCGCTTAGGGTTTAGGGTTTAGCGCTTAGGGTTCTCCATTGAGCAGCTTGGACTTAAGGGTTTCCTCAGGGCCTGACTAGGCTTGTGCCCCGAGGGCTTCTGCAGGGTTTAGGGTTTAGGGTTTGCTGACCAGACGATGGTTTTGCTGTCGCGAATAGCTGCAGCAAACCGCTGGTTTGTGAGGGGCCCGTGGTCCAGGGCCATGAGGTGAGGAGGGACTCCAGCAGCAGCAGCAGCAGTGCCAGCAGCAGCAGCATCAGCAGCAGCAGCAGGGCCCAGCACGAAGTCTTCGGGCAGCAGCAGCGAGACCCCCTTTGCTGCAGCAGCAGCTTCGATTTCCTGCAGCAGCAAACCCCACAACCCAGCCCCAGCTGTCCAGACACCCAAACAAGCCTCTCTCACGAGGTGTCT